GCTAACGACCACCACTTACCAGCCCTATCACTCGTTTTTCGATTTTGGGAAATTCAATTTTCGGCTAAATTTCGCATTTTTGATAAGGGGTACCATCATCAAAATTTTCGAAAAATGGCCGAAAATGAAGTTTTCCAGATTTTAATGAAACTCGATTGGGAATCAAAGCAATCAAATTACAAGCCCTACGAGCTATTACATTCCTCATTTGGACCATTTTTGGCTGTGCTATGGCAAAAAAACTGATTTTTTTGCGCCCAACGTCAAATATACGTCGTTCGACAGCAGAGAGCCAGGTTTTGTTGCCGTTTGTTAGCTCTAACTTTGACAAAATAAGACGCACGGCTAAACCAGTGACTGTTTTATGCAGCTGACAGCCAAAACTCTATGCCCCTATACTTGCTTTTATCATTACTGTTTTGATTTTTTGGTGCGAGCTCTGATTTAATGGCTGAAAAATCAGGGAACTCACTTTTAACAGAAATTTCCAATAGTGTGTTCGGTTTTTAGCTCTAGCTCGGTCAAAACAAGTCGTACAGCCAAAAGAACAACTGTTTTGTGCTGCTAACGACCACCACTTACCAGCCCTATCACTCGTTTTTCGATTTTGGGAAATTCAATTTTCGGCTAAATTTCGCATTTTTGATAAGGGGTACCATCATCAAAATTTTCGAAAAATGGCCGAAAATGAAGTTTTCCAGATTTTAATGAAACTCGATTGGGAATCAAAGCAATCAAATTACAAGCCCTACGAGCTATTACATTCCTCATTCTGACCATTTTTGGCTGTGCTATGGCAAAAAAACTGATTTTTTTGCGCCCAACGTCAAATATACGTCGTTCGACAGCAGAGAGCCAGGTTTTGTTGCCGTTTGTTAGCTCTAATTTTGTCGCACGGCTAAAACAGTGACTGTTTTATGCAGCAAACAACCAAAACTTTAAGCCCCTATACTTGCTTTTATCATTACTGTTCTGATTTTTTGGTGCGAGCTCTGATTTAATGGCTGAAAAATCAGGAAGCCTACCTTTAACAGAAATTTGCAATACTGTGTTCGGTTTTTAGCTCTAGCTCGGTCAAAACAAGTCGTACAGCCAAAAGAACAACTGTTTTGTGCTGCTAACGACCACCACTTACCAGCCCTATCACTCGTTTTTCGATTTTGGGAAATTCAATTTTCGGCTAATTTTCGCATTTTTGATAAGGGGTACCATCATCAAAATTTTCGAAAAATGGCCGAAAATGAAGTTTTCCAGATTTTAATGAAACTCGATTGGGAATCAAAGCAATCAAATTACAAGCCCTACGAGCTATTACATTCCTCATTTGGACCATTTTTGGCTGTGCTATGGCAAAAAAACTAATTTTTTTTGCGGCCAAAGCCAAGTATACGTCTTTTGACAGCAGAGAGCCCGGTTTCTCGCCGTTTCTTAGCTCTAACTTTGACAAAATAAGACGCACGGCTAAACCAGTGACTGTTTTATGCAGCTGACAGCCAAAACTCTATGCCCCTATACTTGCTTTTATCATTACTGTTCTGATTCTTTGGTGCGAGCTCTGATTTAATGGCTGAAAAATAAGGGAACTCACTTTTAACAGAAATTTGCAATAGTGTGTTCGGTTTTTAGCTCTAGCTCGGTCAAAACAAGTCGTACAGCCAAAAGAACAACTGTTTTGTGCTGCTAACGACCACCACTTACCAGCCCTATCACTCGTTTTTCGATTTTGGGAAATTCAATTTTCGGCTAAATTTCGCATTTTTGATAAGGGGTACCATCACCAAAATTTTCGAAAAATGGCCGAAAATGAAGTTTTCCAGATTTTAATGAAACTCGATTGGGAATCAAAGCAATCAAATTACAAGCCCTACGAGCTATTACATTCCTCATTCTGACCATTTTTGGCTGTGCTATGGCAAAAAAACTGATTTTTTTGCGCCCAACGTCAAATATACGTCGTTCGACAGCAGAGAGCCAGGTTTTGTTGCCGTTTGTTAGCTCTAATTTTGTCGCACGGATAAACCAGTGACTGTTTTCTGCAGCAAACAACCAAAACTTTAAGCCCCTATACTTGCTTTTATCATTACTGTTCTGATTTTTTGGTGCGAGCTCTGATTTAATGGCTGAAAAATCAGGAAGCCTACCTTTAACAGAAATTTGCAATACTGTGTTCGGTTTTTAGCTCTAGCTCGGTCAAAACAAGTCGTACAGCCAAAAGAACAACTGTTTTGTGCTGCTAACGACCACCACTTACCAGCCCTATCACTCGTTTTTCGATTTTGGGAAATTCAATTTTCGGCTAAATTTCGCATTTTTGATAAGGGGTACCATCATCAAAATTTTCGAAAAATGGCCGAAAATGAAGTTTTCCAGATTTTAATGAAACTCGATTGGGAATCAAAGCAATCAAATTACAAGCCCTACGAGCTATTACATTCCTCATTTGGACCATTTTTGGCTGTGCTATGGCTAAAAAACTGATTTTTTTGCTGCCAAAGCCAAGTATACGTCTTTTGACAGCAGAGAGCCCGGTTTCTTGCCGTTTCTTAGCTCTAACTTTGTCAAAACAAGACGCACGGCTAAACCAGTGACTGTTTTATGCAGCTGACAGCCAAAACTCTATGCCCCTATACTTGCTTTTATCATTACTGTTCTGATTCTTTGGTGCGAGCTCTGATTTAATGGCTGAAAAATCAGGGAACTCATTTTTAACAGAAATTTGCAATAGTGTGTTCGGTTTTTAGCTCTAGCTCGGTCAAAACAAGTCGTACAGCCAAAAGAACAACTGTTTTGTGCTGCTAACGACCACCACTTACCAGCCCTATCACTCGTTTTTCTATTTTGGGAAATTCAATTTTCGGCTAAATTTCGCATTTTTGATAAGGGGTACCATCATCAAAATTTTCGAAAAATGGCCGAAAATGAAGTTTTCCAGATTTTAATGAAACTCGATTGGGAATCAAAGCAATCAAATTACAAGCCCTACGAGCTATTACATTCCTCATTTGGACCATTTTTGGCTGTGCTATGGCAAAAAAACTAATTTTTTTTGCGGCCAAAGCCAAGTATACGTCTTTTGACAGCAGAGAGCCCGGTTTCTCGCCGTTTCTTAGCTCTAACTTTGACAAAATAAGACGCACGGCTAAACCAGTGACTGTTTTATGCAGCTGACAGCCAAAACTCTATGCCCCTATACTTGCTTTTATCATTACTGTTCTGATTCTTTGGTGCGAGCTCTGATTTAATGGCTGAAAAATCAGGGAACTCACTTTTAACAGAAATTTGCAATAGTGTGTTCGGTTTTTAGCTCTAGCTCGGTCAAAACAAGTCGTACAGCCAAAAGAACAACTGTTTTGTGCTGCTAACGACCACCACTTACCAGCCCTATCACTCGTTTTTCTATTTTGGGAAATTCAATTTTCGGCTAAATTTCGCATTTTTGATAAGGGGTACATCATCATCAAAATTTTCGAAAAATGGCCGAAAATGAAGTTTTCCAGATTTTAATGAAACTCGATTGGGAATCAAAGCAATCAAATTACAAGCCCTACGAGCTATTACATTCCTCATTTGGACCATTTTTGGCTGTGCTATGGCAAAAAAACTAATTTTTTTTGCGGCCAAAGCCAAGTATACGTCTTTTGACAGCAGAGAGCCCGGTTTCTCGCCGTTTCTTAGCTCTAACTTTGACAAAATAAGACGCACGGCTAAACCAGTGACTGTTTTATGCAGCTGACAGCCAAAACTCTATGCCCCTATACTTGCTTTTATCATTACTGTTCTGATTCTTTGGTGCGAGCTCTGATTTAATGGCTGAAAAATCAGGGAACTCACTTTTAACAGAAATTTGCAATAGTGTGTTCGGTTTTTAGCTCTAGCTCGGTCAAAACAAGTCGTACAGCCAAAAGAACAACTGTTTTGTGCTGCTAACGACCACCACTTACCAGCCCTATCACTCGTTTTTCGATTTTGGGAAATTCAATTTTCGGCTAAATTTCGCATTTTTGATAAGGGGTACCATCATCAAAATTTTCGAAAAATGGCCGAAAATGAAGTTTTCCAGATTTTAATGAAACTCGATTGGGAATCAAAGCAATCAAATTACAAGCCCTACGAGGTATTACATTCCTCATTTGGACCATTTTTGGCTGCATTTTGTTTTCTAATACTGGGCTTAACTCGTTAATACATAATGAAAATTATTGTAAGCTTTCGTCTACCTCGGTTGGTATCTTAGTCCCTGCAAGGATTTTTTTTAGATATTAATATTTACATGTGAATATTTCTTACCATCTGACATAACCAGGACTCTACTGAGAGGAAGCTGAATTAATACAAATTTACCGAGCATCTCAACTGGACCAACTGACATCCAACTAATTCTTCACTTTTCATCGTGAAATGCAATATATTTGTTACTTTACAAAACGAATTCATTACAGATGACAATTATAAACATATTTTTATTTTAAACTGTACAAATGACATTATTTAGCCCATGGATTGCAACAACCTCAGTTTAAACTTCTTTATATCTATGAAAATGAGAGTACATAAATATTTTTAAAGAAATTTTATAATTAAACTACTTACCTAATAAACTTTTCTTCCAAAAAGCTTGCACACCTGCCAACATTTTTTCAATTATTTATTTTTACATTTGTTAAATATTTCTTACCAGTGAATATAAAAAGGATTCCACAGAGAAAGAACACAATTAAAGAAAATTTAGCGAACATCTTTCTGACTTTTACTTGCCAACACATTACCAATTTTTAGACTAAACCCTGTGAAATGTCAACTAAGGCTTATAAAGTATTTACAAATAACAAATTACAAATATATTTAAATGTCAACGTAACTAAACCAATTATAGAAAGTTCTATATGGTATATACTGGTGATAAATTTACATAAAACAAACAAACAAAAAATAAAAAATGCTTCCAATCTATAAAATTATACAACTCAATTTATCTAGAAAAAAAAAAAAACGCAGCAGTCTTACATGAAACCAATTATGTAAACATTTTTATTGAATTCCTAGTCTGGAGAGAATTTAGGATGCGGCTGGAGCACCACTATTGATGTGGATCACATTCTTGTTTTCGTTGGTGTTAGGATCCTGTGCCTGGGCCAAGGCAATAGCCGCGAGCAGTAAAACAAGACCAGCGAAGAACTTCATGTTGATCAGTCAAGATTGGGAATAATACCAGGCGACATCAGTCCGTTCTTTATATGTCCCGAGTTGCATAAGGGAAGCTAATCTAATTAGCATAGCAAATTACCCTTGGGGCATATTAAATCGTTGATCTGATTAGGTGAACTAGATGCTACTAGTTTACCGTGTTATTTCTTAATAAAGTGTGAAACAATGTTCGGATTGGAAAAAGTTTTGGTAGGCAGATAGGTATTGACTAGGTATTAAGGTCAAATTAAAACTTACCTTAATACTTGCCCTTAATCTAAATGCTTTATCCCAACTTTCTACCTTTTACAGCTTCAGAGTTCTCAAAATTTATATGGACAAACGTAAGAATATATACATTTTATAAGGTCGGTGACGATTTCTTGAACCTTGCATATTTCTCAACTTTTACTATACCACAAACAGTTTAAAATACAATTATAATGAATGATGAAGAAAAGGTCGTATATTATAAGCTCGTTTAACTTGATGTCAAATATTTGTCAGATTTTTAATAACATATACAAAGACAAGGGCTAGATTTTATTGGAAATTAATAAGCCTGGACCGCTCAGTGAAAAGCGATTTAGGCCGTTGCTGCAGGTTCCGCAGGTTCCGCAGGAGCCGCAGGAGCTGCAGGAGCTGCAGGAGCCGCAGGCGCCCCAGCTGCGCCACCGATGACGATGACATTGTGATTCGTATTCTTGGAATTCTTGCTTTGTGCATTGGCCAGGGCCAAAACAACCAGCAAAGTGACCAACAGGGACAGGAACTTCATGGCTGCCAGTAGAAACTCCGATTGAAACAAGATCAGAGATGCAATACCATTTATATAGGCAAGGATAATTACAAAGTGAAGCCAATTTTTGTATTAATCACGCTTGACATTCCTTCACGTGGCTGTTATAGAAAGAAAAGCCTTAAAAGTGAAATAATCTTCAACTTAAAACTTTTGTGAGAATAAACCGTTTTAGTCTATTGAAAAAAGATCAATTAATCAAAGTTAAGATTCAAATTTAAACCTTTTTTTTATTTATTAAAATAATAATAAATAATTATACCCAAAAAAAAATTAACTAAAATATTTCTTATATTTTCTTGAAATAAGCGAGTAAAATCAAAATTTTGTCTGTAAAGTGAAACGAATTTAGCTTTTACGAAACTTGAAATTACGTAATGGTAGTGCAGTTAAAAATTATCATAATGAAAGTGTCTCGAGCGCTAGCCGTTGTAGTTTCCGTAGTCCTGATACTTGGCATTGTGTTAACGTACAAATGGATGACGATTCGCAGTCTCGGCTCAAAGAAATCCTCAACAGTAACCAAAAATCATACAGACTCGAAGAATTTTACAAAAGAAAGCCCATCCCATACCCAAAAAACCCAACCAAAGTAAGACTAAAACGCCTAAGCAGACGGCTAACAAGAACATTCCCAAAAGGCCAGTAAAAAAGGTGATCCAAAAGCCAAAATTCAATCCGAAAAAGACTAAAATAATTCCAGTAATTCCCCTGCTGGATGTTCAAAAGGCCAGAAATCAGCCTGCTAAGGGAAATAGTATATTCTTCCATGAAACCACAAATTTCCGGCGAGATGAAAAGATTCACCTGATCCAGTTGACGGCCCGTGCGGCTTGCGCCATTGAATCGGCTGCCCTTCACAATCCACGCCTCACTGTATTTGTACTCTTCGCAGGCGGCACTCATCGTATTTCCAGTGGAGATCCGCTGATCAAGGCTTTAAATAAATATAAAAACATTAGGCTGAGACATCTCAATGTATGGCGTTATGCAGCTGGCACTCCCATTGAAAAGTGGCTAAAAAGTGGAAAGCTATTCAAATCGAAATACCTTTTTTCCCACGTCTCCGATATACTGCGTTATATAACTCTTTATAAGTATGGTGGCTTGTATTTGGATCTCGATGTGGTAGTTCAACAGAATCTAGAGAAAATGCCACCGAATTTCACGGGAGCTGAGAGCAACAATTCCTTGGCCTGTGGGGTTATGAAAATGTCCTTCAAGGGTTTGGGCCATCAGATAGCCACCTCTTGCCTGATGGATCTTCAGGCACACTACGATGCCAATAAATGGGGCAGCAATGGACCAGGAGTCATAACACGAGTGGCCAAAAAGCAATGTAACACCGATAAAGTCAGGACAATGATCAACAATCCAAAACGCTGCAAGGGCTTTAGGGTCTTTGATCTTAAATCCTTTTATGCGATTCACTGGCTGCAGTGGAAGGATTTCTTTCAGCCCAAAAGACTTAATATAACCATGAAAAAAATAGAAAAGTCACCGGTGATCCATGTCTGGAACAAATTCTCGAAGGGATGGAAGCTGAGGACAAAGGATAACTGTGCTTACACCAAAGTGGCCAAGAAACACTGTCCCAAGTCATTTGCAGCAGCGGGAACGTTCTTTTAGATGGAGTTTTATCAATTTTAAGTTAAATTTAGTTAGCAACTTTTACAAAAGAAGTAAGAAATTATAAGAAATTTAATGTTAAAGAAGTTTCACTGTTTTACTACTTAATTTCTGGTAGTTAACTTCTAAGTTCTAATTTATGTACATTTACATTTCCAATATTTATACAATAAATGCAAATATTTTCAGAATTACCAAAAGAGAAAATCCCCCAAAGTCCCAAGAGCTTATTTAAATTACTTTTCAGTTATTAACATACATTCAAAGAGAGAACCAGACCAGCTAAGACCGACAGACAAAGTTTCAATCTAAACCAATCTGCTTAAAATTTAATAAGCCGAATTATATTCTCGATGCTTGGTGCTGGACACACGAACTAATTGTCTGCTGAAATATTCATAATAAATTCCGAGGGCCATTGAAATTCACTCTTGTATCTTTGTTGTCATAGCGCGGAGAAGAACTAATTAATTGTTACCAAATAAGGCCAAAATAAATAGCCAGAAGCCGGTTTAGCCTGAACATTATTAACATTTTCGAGGATATCTCGCGGCTCTTTCAAGTTGAATAAATATTTTCGCATCATTACTGCCGAGCTTTATTTATGCAAAACGCAATTTCCCAATTTATTTATAACTTATATTTATATTCAAAACATTTCAGAGGCCAGCACTCAGTCTGTCTGTCTGGTTTGGGCAGCCAGGAATGCCAGAAACTAATGCCCGAATTTATTGTGACTTTTGGCACTGCCTGCAACAGCTGCTCCACATTACGGTTGTCACCCAAAAAACAAAAAAAAGGAAAACTCCAATCCACCCAGAAAAAATAATACAGAAAAAATAGAACCAAAGCTCACATATGGGTCTCCTGCTCAGTTTTATCTGCTGCGCTGCACGCGGCACATTTGCATATTTCGTGCACCGGAGGAGCTGAGTTTTCCAGTTTTTCAGTTTTCATTTTTATTTCATTTTTATTAATGCGAAAAATGTAATTTCAAGCATTTGCAACTGCAGCGGACCCTTGGGGGCCACACGACACTCAGCCCAAAAACAAGAAAAAATTGGCATGTGGAAAATTGCCAAAATTTCCATGAAAGGCAAAATAACTCGTTGACTATGTAAATCACACTTTTTGTTAAATTTAAAGAGGTATAATTTATGTTGCTAAATATAATGTGTTATCAATTATATTAGAGGTTAAAAATCAACATTTTACCTTTTTAAATTACTCTTTAAATACACCTAGGTACGGACCTTAACCGGGTTTCTTCCATTCAAAGCCACTTTAATCCAATAAAAATCTGAATACATTTCAATGTCCCGGGAAATCTCGTGTTTGCACTAACATTCATAACAATTACTAATGCAATCAAAACAGTTGATTAGATTTTTCCCTTTTAGTCTCGGTCTCTTAGCTTTTCGTCTGTGTCCTGTCCACAGGGTCAACATGAAATTCGGATCCGTTACTTTCATTTGCATTTGTCACGCTCGTTAGTCTTACGGAATTCCCATCGGAGAATACGTAGTTTTCGATATCCAATGACGGCCACGTGACCGGAATCTCTCTTTCCCTTTTGGTCAGAAAACAAAAACTAATGCCGAGTGAAGTTCAAGTAATGCTTACTAAGCTGAATAGTATCTCCCGTGGAATGCAGGCAAAGAAATGTATTTTTTAAAAAGTAATGCAAAAGGGACAACATCAGAGGACTTGAGGACTCTTGGTCCTTCAGCTCATAAATAAATATAAAAATTATTGTAATAGTTTTCAGCTTTTGGTTTTACTTGGCAGCTAGCTACGCTATAAATGCCCAAGAAAAGCTCTTTGGACTGAAATCCGTTGGCTTTACCTAAGCACTGGAAATAGGATGAAACCAATGTCAGAGTGTCTCTCGGTCACAATGCAGCGGCGAGAAAAAAGGACTCGTCGGGAGAAGGATGATGCCTAGGAATGATGAAGAGGATAACAAGGAAAGAAAACTTCTTGAAATAGATCGAAAATACCTATAGAGCTGAAAGATAAAATAATATAGAATATATATAATTATATTTCCTTAAAGTTTAATAACGCAAACTTCATTATTTTATTATTATCATCATTATTTATACATATATTATTCCAATTCCAATTTCCACACACACACACCTGACACCGGAATAGAAAACAGAATCTAAAATTTAAATGAAACTCCCAAAACGACTTGATTAAATTTCAACAATGATTGTACAGCGAAATGAATGCCGTGTGGCACATTGAAATTTTCCGAATGAGCGCGCTACGGAATGCAGCACGTATTTGCATTATGATTATTATTGTGGCAGTGGCAATGGCCGCGCCGCCACTCGCAACAATAACAGAAAGAGAAGAAAAGCCGGGGTGGCAGCGGAAAAATATAAAGCCAAATATTTTTGTGGCAGCACAAGGAAGTGGCCAAAAGCGCACTTTTCATAATCTCTTGCATTTTATGGTCGGCAGCGGGAAAACAAGCAGCCAGCTGAAAATTCAAATGAATAGCAAATTGCGGCGCACACGCTTATTCGCGCAATGCCACAAAGGCTTTTCCGAACTGTTTTTCCACTCCTCATCTGGGAAGTTGGGTTGGGAAAACCCCCAGACGACTAAACCCCATCCGGTCTTCCCACCGGAAACAGCTGTTTCCTTTACACACAGACACTAGCTTCCTCTTCCTCCTCCTCCATCGAAAAAGCCAAGAAGATGCTGCGAAATTATTATTACATTTTATGCCAATTCAGCGAATTTTCCATGTGCATTTCTGAACTTAACCCGAAGGAAAACTGGCAAAAACTTTAGTTTGCCTTGGCTTAATTAAAGCCACCGACCTGGGCCAAAAACTGAAAACCATAATTTTTAAGCTACACCACTGAGTTTTCCCACAATGAAATGAAGTTTTAAAATCTTGATGACCCGACTTGTTTGTTGGCTGCACAGGAAGTTAATATTTTTGCAATTTCGCCCGACTTTAATTTAAAAGAAGAACATGCTGTTCGAAATAGGATATACTCTCTCAAGTTACAAGTATATATTAAAGAAAATCCTTTGATTGGCGATAAATATTTAAATAAATTAAACAAGGAAATGAAATATTTTATATATTATTAGGATCAATTTAGAATGCGCCACTTATTCGATACTTTCATTCTGGTTTTCTCAACTGCAACCTCTGACAGGGTATAATGGAAACAAAGTAGTAAAAATGGGAACTGAGGCCCGCGAAAGCCATGAAATGTTCGTCTAGAGGAAAATAAATGAGCTCCGGCCATGGAACTTAAAGTTTTCAAGCTCTGCGATGCGAAGGCGACTTTCCGCTAATTTTGTATGCAGCCCACACAAATCTTGTCATTATTAAAGGCCAAAAGGCTCCGAAGGCTCAACCTCAACTGGACTTTGTGGACGAACTGGTACTGCGATGTCTGGTTTTTGCTCGTTTGATTTGCTCCATTAATTTTGAGCGGAGTTCTTTCTGACTCTGGGCAAAAGTTCTGTGACAGCCAAAGTGGGGATCCTCTGTTTTTGGCCCGTTGATTTGTGTGGCGCTTTTCTGGGTGATTAAGTCATTCATCAGGCGGCGGCCAAAGCGGACTAAGAGGCCATTTTCTTAACGCGCTTTTCTAATGAAGCGTTATGCCGAATAATTAGAGGTTTTGTTTCTAGACATGGCTTATCTAGTCACCAATATATTTCCACTCACTTTTTTCAATTAAAAAGTTTCGCCTTTGTCATGGTTACGCAATAAATTTCTAAGATCCAAGGAAGACCACGCGGCGTATGCGTAATAAGCATTCGATGATTGGGCACACAGAGCGGACCTAAGCTCATTTAATTGGTATTAATAATGACTCTGGGCCAAAGGCCAAGCTGTTGCCATGCAACCTGCCATAAAAAGGGGTGGTCTGGGTGGCATTAGCGACGGAAAAAAAGGAGCAACACTCAGAGTAAAAATATATAGAATTCAAATTCAAGATTTTTATATTCTTTAAACTATTTTTTAAACTATTTATGTCAGTATAAAGTATTTTTGAGAAAGCATAGAAAAATATATATTTTTAAATTTTTAATAATATTTATTCTTAATTTTAACCCTTTTCTCTCAGTGAACATTGGCCTGTGGGTGGCGAAGCATCTGTGAAGGTCATCGCTAAGTAGTTTAGTTCTGCCATTGGCATGCTCAGCAGTGCAAATGCCTTGATAAACGTTGCAATTTTATAGCTTTAACAGCATATTTATTTCTCAGGAACTTAATACAATGAAGACGGGGGCTTCTTTGTTGGTTTCCCCCCTGCTTTTATTTCAATGCCCCCATTGTTTCACTTGGCAAGGCTTTCCAGCTTCATTGTAAGCAAATTTGCTTATTTATTTGTTAAACTTGAAATCCTGCCCCCGGAGGGGGGAGGTTTACAAGTTGAAATAGAATCGACTTTATACAAATTTCAAATGCTGCAAGTTAAGTTTATAATTTGTAGAAAGGGATTTAGATAATCATCATTGCGTTTAAAGGGAAACTGAGTAATGGAGATGAGTAATTAGGAGTTAAATAATCAACCTAAGTTTATATAGGTCATAATAACCTCAACTTGTTGAAATTCACGCCAAACATCCTTCTACATCCATCTTGGCCATCAAATAGCTGAGAACATCATGGCAAAAGGATAAGACATAGCAAATAGTTGCAAGTAGATGGGAGGGGCGATGGCTAAGAAGGCGTTTTGCTGCTTTACACCTATGCAGGTGGGAAGTATTAATTTCCAAGATGCTTGCTGATTCTTGTGCAACACTTTTTTCTTCTTTTCTGTTGACATTTTCTGTGGCACTTTGTTGTCTTGTTTGTCCCAGTTTTCTATCGCTGCCACTACCTCTCTGTTATTCGTCCTGTTTTCATTATTAATAATGCCGACTGCCTTTTGTTTGCCCGCCCTGCACAGTTCTAGCATCTTTCCTCCCGCCGGAATTTGAGCCAAGTTGGCTCGCTTTGTATACATGTTAGTGACAGAAATTATTCTTGTTGACACATAAAAATTGTTTAACCCTTTTTTTCCGTGGCATGAAAAATGACAGGAAATGATAAAATGTTTTCGTACGTGAGTGTGTGAGTGAAGCATTTGGCCAAAACATTTCCCGGACATTGATGTATTTGGGTCAGATGCTATACTTTTTTGCTCCGAAGGACAGAGCAGGGATAACCCTGTAAAGTTACTCAAGAAATATATATTTGTACAAGGGTACACTTTCCGGCTCATTAACATCGCTGGAAATTTGCATAGTTAATTGCTTTTTAATTGTTGTGTTTGGAATTTTCAATTGCAGGCCAAAGATATACGAGTATATATTTTTTGTTTAATCTTCAAGCTGGGCACGTTTTATGGTCGAAATTTCTTTATTTTATTTTCATTTTCTGGTGGGCTGTGCCACATTAGGCAAATAGAGTTTGCAGCTTGGCTAATGAAGCATAGTTTTGAGATTTGCCACGCCCCCACCGCCACACACACACACAGCCCACTCAGACAGACTTCAATTAGCCTGCCAGCAATAGCTGAATTTTTATTTTGCCCTCTGTTTTGTTTTTCGAGCACTTTCCTTCTTTTTTTTGTGTGCCTTGGTTGCCTTTTGCGGTCATTAAAACTAATGGCAGCTCGGTGGTTCGCTGGCTTTAAAAATTCCACACTTGCCCTCGGGCCGAATGGACCGACCAACCGGATATATCATTTGACCAACAAGCCAAACAAACTCACACACACACAAACCCCAGTCAAACCAAATAAAACAAGAGGGAAAAAAGGCATCCCCAGTAACCCAAAGTTTTGTTGGCTCGCATGCGGTCACAAAAGAGCAGTAAATTAAAATTTACTCGACATGAAATTGAAGCGGCACAGACCTGCTCCTTGCCACCCTTTCTCAACCTTCCGCCAATCCATTTCCTCCTATTTTGCCTGTGGAAATTCATTCATTTTCAATCTGATTGCAAATGCATTCCCCACTGAAATGCCAGAGCAAAAGCCTTAATAAATATTCATACTTCTGACGGAATATATATAAAGGTATTAAGGTTGTTCCAATTTTACTGAACAATTAATTTCTGATAAGATTGAGCGGCAGGAATTATTTTTCTGATGATATGCAAAGCTGTTTTATAGTAAGATAAGTAAGCGTAAGATGAATAAATATTCTCGCATTTACTACAGTTGGGGTATAATTTTAATCCTCCTCAGAAAAACTCTTCATTGATTTCTTCAATAAGATAATGTCTTAAGCTCGTACCCACAAAAAAAAACTGAAATGATTTTTGTATACACCGAAATTTAGGAAATCTCTACAAAACATAGCTCATTTTGAATTCGTAGAGCCATTTCGCTACTTTCCCAATGATCGCCTGCAGTCCTTTTGGAGGCCACTTGGCCCTTCCGTCTCCGGTTTGTTTTCCGATGGTTTGACTTGTGGCCCGCTACCCGCGGGGTCTCGAATTCTACGTGGTCAAAGTTCTACGTTCCATGTTACTAGCCAACTGACATGCAAAGCAGATTCGACCAAAAAAAAGGACGAAGAACAGGCCCGTTGGCCACTTTGCAGTCGGCACGCGTGCACAGATTAAGCGGACAAAAAAACAAGAAGAAAAACTAGAACCGCCTGCAGTCGCGGTCAAACAAACAATTTTAAAGAGCTCCAATCAATTATCAAGTTGAGACCACTCCGCTCTTACCACAATTTCCCGTTAAGCGACAATTTCCGCAGCGATTATTCAATGTCAACTAAAAAGTTGCAAAAACGTTCGAAAAACCAGGAAAAGCAATTAAAACCAGCTGCTGCCCTGATGCCACGCCCTATTTCCGACACCGCCCCGCACTATCCTAAAAGTTCATGTTTATTTTATGTGGCAAAATATGTTTTCTTTTTGGGAGAAATATTTATGTAAGCTCTGCTGCAGTTTATTTGTCAAGCCGGACATGCAGATGTCGGGGGATTAGATGGATTTATCGCACTGTGACAAATATACGGTGTAAATCATTGAGCTGATGGCTTTTTCTGGCTGCTTGCTGCAAACGTGTTAAATTTAACGCAAGAAAAGGTGCATTAAGTATGCAAATGTTGCAAAAAATGATTGAGCTTTAATGGCTCTGACATGAAAATGGGAAAATGCATATGAAAATTGCCTTTCACAGTCAAATAATCTTTTACAATACGTAATACAAGCTAAAGTAATTTAGAGAATAATGGCACACAGAAGGTTCTGAATAATTAAAACAAATATTTATGATATTGTTATTGAATAAGTCATTTAAAGGCATTAAAATATATGTTACGATTTATATGAATTACGATTTAAAGCTGTATTTTTATACATGAAAGATTATTAACTACTCTTTCACGTCAACCCAGATATCAAACAAACTGAATCTAATTAAATATATGTTCACTCTCGTGCTTTCACTAATTTGATGCGCTGCATTCTGAGTAATTTATTCTGTGTAATTTTTGATATTTTAAATGTAGTTCAGCACAGCTCGGCTGTCAAATACAAAAATTCACTGCATTTTACTAGAGGCCCCGACTTAATTAGCTGCAGCAGCTTACCCACAGCTAGAGTTCGATAATGATGAATTAGCTTAACCTCTGACACACCAATTCCCGCCTTCTGTTCAGAATCAGAATCTATGGTGTCCGTATAGCAAATGAAATTTCCACGTTTTGCACCCAAACTGCAGCTACACATCTCACCATGTTGAAGTTAATTGAATTGTTGTTTTGTTTGGCCCTAGATATTGCAAGCCAACATGTACCATATATTAGTTATTGATTTCCCTCAGGTTGCCAGGTTTAATGGCAATCAACTCGAAATGGGCAAAAAGCCAGGGAAAACAGGATGCAAACGTTGATGTTTTAATCAAGTCGATGTCTTAATTAACTATCTAAATGGGTATAACTTTGGAGGTGATCAAGCATCTCGCACTTTTTGTCAATGTAATTAAAATATGTAAGTATTGCATGCCAAATAACAATGTTTAATGAATTTGTAATAGAGGTAGTGCCCCTACAAGTTTTAAATATACAATGCATTGTATAAATTATGTAAGTTGGAAAACTCACATGCAGCTGCCAAAGATATGTACACAGCACATAATAAAGCCTCAACGGCAAATGTGATATGATGTTGCAGGATCTATTGATTTTAAGAATCGGAATCCTTGAGTGATATCATTGAAGAGTGAACTACGATTCCCGGTCGTGAGAAGTCCTCATGAGATTCGTTGCTTTCCACCAGGGAAATTTCGTTGGCCGATGAATTGTTATCCTCCACGTTGCCCACATATTCCTCCACATCGCTTTCGCTGTCGTAAAGCTGATCGTCGGCATCTAAATCTATGATTAAGCGTCGCAAATAGCGCAATTCATCGTGGGCACGTGACACCTTACGTTCCAAGGCCTTCATTTGGGCCTAAATATCGAAAATATTATTAAACATATTAAACATATGCTATTTTCAAGATTTCTAACCTGAGGAATGAGTGGACAGCCCAGTAAATGCAAAATGTACATTAGAGGATCCGATGGCAATGGATCGATTTCAACCAGTTGCTTTAAAATCTCCAGTAGTCTAGGAAAAATACCATTCTCTGTAAGATACTCAATTGATTCTTCTTCCTTTTCCGACATGATTTTTAATTTATAATCGAAAATTAAATATCTTTTTGCAAAAATGTTAGTTTTGGCGAGAAAAAACTTGAAATCGCGAAAATAACTGTAAAGACAAGGCTTCTTTGACTTTCACACAGGCAGCCTCTAGCGGTTGGTGTTCGTACTAAGGCGGTAAACTTAACAGGGTGCTGCTAACTCTTAACAGTGGGCTGTTAAGCGCGAGAATTATGTCCAAATCATTTTTTGGCGCCAAAATGTTTACTCTGCAAGCCAAACTCCTTATTTTGGGTTCACAAATTAGTCAACTTTTAAATATTTTTTCAAATAAACTAACAAAGAGTGGCCAGGTGACGATCTGGCAGCACTGTAACCTTTCAATTCAATTGGCGCCTAATTTTAGCGTGACCAGCCTATAGTTAATTAAAAAAAACTAATTTATCAATGCGTTTTGGTATTATGGGCGGAAAGGCTCACTTTTATAAATATATAGCAACACAACAAATATAGTCAAAATTCGAAAGAGGAACATATATATAGAACCGATCTGAACAAACGATGGAGAAGCTAAGCAAGGCGAAAAAGGTGGCGCGGGAAGAGAAGCAGCGCGACCAAAAGTTGGAGGAGTTGGTAATATCACGGATCCTAACGCCCGATTCCTTTTCACGGTTTTTCTCAGATCCCATGGAAACGGGGCCAAATAAAGGAGTTATAATTGAATATTGCATCTATTTTAGGTCATGAAATCCCTGGAGGAGTGCCCCTCCACCGAGGAGAAGGTGAAACTGCTACTTCAACGTCATGTGGACAGCGAGAAGAACGTGAGCCGGTTAACATCCGAACTTCGCGTCTTGCAACGCCACATGGAATCCCAACAGCGGGAGAAGGAGCAAGTCCAACGTGATCTCAACAAGAGCGTCCTCATGAGGGACAAACTTCAGGAGGTCTGCCGCGAACAGCAGCGCATTATAAAATCCGTGAAAAATGAGAGCCTGCTACAAATAAAAGTCGAGGAGGAGCGACGCAAGGAAAGCCAAAGCAAGTTCCAAAACTCTTTGACCGACGTCCAGAAATCTTTAGCCAAGAACAACGAGGAAAACATCAAGCTGCGCGATTACAACATCGAAATGACCAAGAAGTGAGCATCGCCGCCCCACAGAGGGGATCTGAGTTCTAAATATAGCCACTGCACACGCACGTTCTCCGTTTTCTGATTTTTCCCTAACCATCTGCTCTTCGTTTTAGGTTAAAACTGCTGGCCGAGCAATACCAAACGAGGGAGCAACACTTGGAGAAGCTCAATGAGCAGGTTCAGCTTGAGGCCCAGTTGCATCAGGCCAAGCTGCAAAAATGCCAGGTGGAAGCCGCCATGGAAAAGGAGATACTCAACAAGTAAGTGGACAATATGCCGGGTCAGCGGACGCTTCTCTGAAACTGTAGATAAACGCACCTTAGATGGTCACACATTTGAGAACGAGTTTTCATTCAAGAAACTCGTTGAGATTACAGGTTTTCATTGGGGTTAGCTAAGAAGTCTGTATGGGCTACTTCATACTAAAACAGTTTTCATCAACATAATTTTTGGTTAATAACAAATTAATTACTGATTAGTATGGTTTTAACTCTTCAAAGACAACTACGGTTTCTAAGGCAACTATGGAAGTTACCCTGAAACGCATGTTTTTCAGTATTCATGTACCGACATAGGCCTTTAAGTCCTTAAAATACAAAGTTCCTAATTAGTGTACCTTCTTCCAGGGAAAACAAAATTGGTCTGGAGAAACTGCTGCAAGCGCAACGTGCCATTAAGGATCTCACCGATCGAGAACATCAGCTAAAAGAGCAGCTGAACATCTACACGGCAAAGTACGATGACTTTCAACAGTCGCTGCAAAAATCCAACGAGGTATTTGGCAGCTACAAAGTAGAACTGGAGAAGATGTCGAAGCACACAAAAAAAATCGAGAAGGAGGCGCTGGGATGGCGGCAGAAGTACGAGAAGGCAAATGCCACGGTGATTGATTTGGCTACCGAGAAGAACCTGCAGGCGCAGCATTCAGAGCGGCTGCAGAAGCAAATACAGCAGCTGCAGAAGCTATTGCGTGCTCTCCAGCAGGAGCGGACCACTTTGCACAAGTGCCTGCGGGATAACGAGATTGAAATTCCTGCCTTGCCGCAATTGCCGCCCGAACCAGAGCCAGTGAATGTGAAGGCTGTGAATTCGGATAATGTTAAAATGGAGATGATGACTCGCAATTGTGCGGAACTGAAGCAAACGCTGGCCAATCTGCAGAGCCAAATGAAGCTGCTAACGGCCAGCGAATCGAAGACAGCAGCGGACGAGAAGAGCAAGGCCGAGGAGCAGAGGCAGGCAAACAACGCGAAGAAGAATATTCGCAAGAAGGAGAAAAAGTCCAAGGCAAAGGCAGCCGCAGCAGCAGCGGCAGCAGCAGCCGCTTCCACATCGAACGAAGAGCTTAACGGCGACCAGGAACCTGCGACTACGGAATCCAATGTCGAACTACAGGCAGCGGGCGATGCCTCAAATGTTAAAGACAGCCAGGAGCAAACTGTTGAGCCTGTCACAAGCTCGCAGGAGATCGTAGGTGATGGCGACGCCTCCAACGCCAAGTCACCCTCTAATATATCCGAAGTGCCTGCCTTAATCGATGCCAATGCAGACTAAATTATTGACTGTTCGCCTGTACTCACACCCAAATCACGGACGGCCACGTAGCCTTCTCTTTAAAAGCATTTTGTGTCATTCATGTCTCAACTAAAGAAATGTCATCAATCACAAGCCAACATGGTCGGATTTTTGTACTAGTTATTTATTGTACTTTGTATATTGTATTTATTTAAAGGAATGTGAACGGTGATCGTTCATTGCTGTTCAACAACAAATTGAGTAAAACGTGTTTCCTGCAAACAAACCATTTTTGCTTTCCAATTGAAATAGATTGGTTCGACATAAAGCTTAAATTCTCACTTGAAAAAGGTTCAAGGAGTTAATTCGAAGGAATTAAGTTAAGATTTCCCTCATTAGAAAACATGCTAATGATTTCCAAAATACTACAGGACTAGTCAAAAAGTTAAATATTCTTCAGTCTTAAAGTTCCATCTCAATGCAGCCAACAAATATAAATCTGAACCCACATTTCGCATCAATTTCCACAAGAAGTAGAATGGGTAGCTAGCAGAGCGCACAAGCTCGATGGCCATGGATTGCTTTCGTCATTGTTGGCGGCGCCACAAAGTCTAGTGTTGCATGCAACACATTGCAATGCCAACAGGCGGACGACGGGTGGGTGGTTTCAGTGGTGATGGGTGGTGAGTGCCTGTGGTTCGTGGCCGAGGTCATTATAATTGCGCCTTAATTATTTTTAACACGCAGCTGTCATTTTTGCTGGGGCCCCAGATTTCCATCATAAAATATTCAAGACGCATGCAACGTGGCGTATGCGTAACACCAACTGTTGGCAGCGGTCACTCAGTGCGGCTGAGGGTGTTGAAATAAGCCCAGTTAAGCCACTAAAATAATTACACAAATTAATTTAAATTGCATAAAGAGGTGCATATGAAAGAAGGGGCAATTATGCCAGGAGTTTCAAGGTCTCAACCATTCCTTACCTCGTTTCACAGGTGTTTTAAGCCCCAAGTTAATTACAAATTTAATTAAAAATGTAAAAATTGCTCAGAACATTAGGTATACTATTCGTATGAAGCCCGTTCCGCCTGATTGCCCATTAAACGGTATTAAAAGTGTCGTTGCCACAGAGGCAAAGTGTCATCATTGTGCATATTTCACACCCTCGCTCTCACAAAAATGTGTGCACATTTCGCAGGCAATGAGCTTTTGAACATTTAATGAGTTAATACGCTAAATTTGAAAGTCGCGCAAGCGTGCGCCAAGTGCTTCAAACACTTGTCCCCATCCTCGAGTTGCCCATTTTCCAGCTTGAAAAATGAGAATGGGAGAATCAAGCAACTAAATCTCACACTGAGAGATAAGAAATAGAAAAGCTAACCTTTTTATATCGGCCTAAAATAATAATTTTTAATTTAAATTTAGAGCAAATACCATATCGATTTTTAAAATGATTTTATAAAAGGAGTAGATATAAAATTTTTTAGATATGCGATAGATATGATATTATAAATATTACAAGTCTTAGAAAGTTTAAATTTTCAACAATTTGGACTTTATTTGTTGACCCCAAGTAAACACCCGTTTTCTCTCAGTGTACAATCACACGCACATGCAAAACACTAAGCACTTGTCATTTGGCTGTAAAACCCTCCACGTCCGTTCGTTGGCGAAAAAAACAGTGCAAATGTCCAACACACGAGCATATGTACATATGTGCGAAAAGCCAGCAGCAGCGTCGTAGGAGGCGTAGCTTTCTGGTTGGGACTGGGGGAGGGTATTGGGTGGCTGTTGTGGCGTCGTGTTCATCCTAAACTCATGGGTGTCATTTCTCAGGACCCACTCGGTCTGCAGGATAACAGCAGCGTAACAGAAGACCCTCATTTGGGACCAGAAAAGTAGAGGCTGCCAGACTGCCTGACTCTCGGCGTTAAAGCCAAAGGACACAGGCGACGGCGATGGTGTGGCAATATTTTTGGCAGCCAATTGTGCGGGCTGAGCAAGATGAATGATAGAATATGAGCGTTGCCTGCACAGTGGTAATTTTTCTTTTTTTATATTAAATTAATGTTACAATTTTTTTGTTTTGATTTATTCACTTTTATTTAATAGTTTTCCGATGGTTTTTATATAAATTACTCATACGCCACGTTGTCATTTAAAATAAATAATATTTATCATTTGGTAAAAAAAATAGAAGTTTTACAATTTTAAATATTTTTTAAATAATAACTTTTAAAGTAGATATTTCTAATTATCAATGTTAAAGTCCACTGTAACCACCGATATATCCCGCAATAGCCCACCCGCACACCCAAATGAGTGCGCACCCACTCTCCGGCGAACTCTCTCTCTCCGTCTCCGGCGGAGTGGCTCCGGATATTTCGGCAACAGAAGCGTGGCTGCGATAGCCGGAGATTTTACCGAGCGAAACGAGAAACGCGAAGCGAGCGAAGGGAAAACCGAAGCGTCGCTGCTGGCAAACATTTTCCATTTTCGCAGTCCTGTAATCAGTTGTGTATAGGACACTCGCGTGCGCGCGTCGAACGGTTTCTGGCTTTATTTGGGTGAAAAGTGTGGAAAAGTGTGTCTGACGGCGAAACGGTAAACGGGGAAAACGCTGCGCGGTTTTTGCTGCTCTCGAGTTTTTTTTTCTTCTTTTTCTGGATTTCACATGGTAACGATTGTTGCTGCTGCTGTCTAATTGAAACCTTAAAAGTTCTTATTTTATTTTTAAACTATAAATTATCACTAGTCCCTTAGAAAAGTAGCCAAAAAATGAGAATTCGACAAACAAGTTGGAGGAAATTTTCCAGCTACAGCTACAGCTGCTGCTGCCTCTGCCAGCGTCGCTGTCGCTGTTCGAGATAAAGGATATGCCCGGATCTAAAAGATACAGTTTTTCTTCTTGTTTCTTTTTTCCGTTGCTGCTGCTGCTGCCTTTGCTTCTGCTGAATTTTCATGACATTTTCCATACAGAAAACAAAGCAACAACAATCGTTGAGACAGGGACCTTAAGTTTTTCGATATATCTAGTTAAATGTAATAAACAAAGAAAGAAAAAGTTAAATAAAATAAAAGTGAGCGCCAAATTATGGAAATAAATAAATAAGCCGAAATCATTAACAAATTAAAACGAGACACGCAAAAAGAGGGCCGAAAAACATATTAATATCGAAAGGAGTCAAGTGTTTTCGAGGAGCTGTTTGTTGGCATGCTTTGAGGTTAATACCACCCAACCGCCACCACCGCCACCACCCATCCTAGCCTCTGCCTCTTCCTCATCTCCGCTTTGGCCAATTTCTCCGTCTGCTTTCGCCGCTTTCTTCGTCACCGCCACTGCCGTCACCATCAAAAGGCATCGAAGGTAAATATATAGCATATATTGCCGAGTGTGTGTATATAAGCCAATGGGCTAACAAACTAACCTACAAAGTAAACAAAAGCGTTACGCTACAAATGCAAATTTTTCGCACACACATATACATACGCACACATGCTTAAGAACTATAAACAACAACTCATTTAACTGACGCCATGCCCCCATAAAAAAACAAACAAACAAAAAAACAACAAAGCTCAAGACTGAAAAAAATAGAAGAAGAAAAAACCTGTAAAAAGGTGGAAACGGCACGGCAAATGGAACACAACAAAGCAAAACGCACGCTTCTAAAGCTATTTGTATAAAATTTTAATCGCATGCGATTTATTTGACTAGGCGCCAAAGTCGCACACATCAACGCATTCTCAAGCACAAGCAGTCCTACACACGCAACCAGAGAAAAACCACACACACTTATACTCACCTAGAAAAATGTGAGCAAAAACATTTCCAAGCATTTGTTTGTTTTTCACAAAATTATGCTAAATATTTATGGGCTCTATTTGAAGTTTGAGCTATTCCAGGTTCTCTATTCAATAATTGAGGAAAGTAATTAAAAAGTTGGGGAAAGCTTTTCAAAGAAATTCTTGGCCATTTTCCTTTGAGATTATATATAAAATTATATTTTTGATATTCAATTAAACAAACAACAAATGCACACCTGGCGGAATGTGTTTACTTTTCCCGGCATTATGAAAATGATTTAAAATTTATAACCTTTGGACGAAGTGTTGACAACTTGTTTATAGTTCCCAAAATAAGTTAAACAATTCATATGCTTCTTTTTTTAAACTTTTGTATTGTATTTTTCTAATTTTAGGTTTGTAAATAAACTTGTATTTTTATTAGTTTTCTTAAGAAAACAAAGCACAACAAAAAATAAGTTTAATGGTATTATTTTGTCTAATATAACTTTTTCTCATTCTACAATTCAATTTAATTGAATTCTCATTAAATTCGTTTATTAAAAAAAGTTGAAAAAGCTTCACAATTTGCAGACTTCGTACATTTTTAATCATATGATTAAAAAAATAATTTGGTAGAATATTAAACGATTTTGTATGGCATAATTTTGTGATATTTTTCGTGAAATAAAATAAAATAAATTATTTTTACAAGCTTTTTACATTTAGTATTCCTCTTAATAGACCCCAATAATCGTGTCATTTAAAATTCCAATTATTCAGCTCAAATATCCGTGCCATTTAATCCCCGACAAGCCGTTAAGGGAAAACAAACAAACAAAAGTCGTGTGCAACAATTGATAAGCACTAAAAGGACTATCGTGCAGTCTGGCCATAAACCATAAACCAAATTCCAATTCCATTTAGATGCACAAGCCGATTATAAAAGTCAACTTATGTTGGCATTGTTTTTGCATTCATTTGACATTGATTTTGTGATCGATTGGTAGCTGATTGCGTTGGTCCTCGGAATTGAGAAGTCATCAAATTAAATCAATGAAAGTTTTTTGGTATCATGAAAAATGTTGTTAATCTGAAATCGTGACTTGATTTATTTGATTTAAGTTAGAGGCCATGGAAATGATAAATTAAATTCATACATATTTTATAATGTTAAATTTACTTAGCAGAACTTAACCTAACTATATTATCTTTCTAACTTAAAGATATTTCAAAGAATCTAAAAATATAAATATGTCTATAAATGCATTCAAATTTTTTTTCTTTTAAGAGCGTTTTAAGACGTGCACCTCAGCTAAAAAGAATTCGCTACCATCTATTTATATAATCCTTAGTGCTATTTGGCCAACTATTTTAAGTGCTTCCAGCCAACAAGAGCTGCAGCTGCACAATGAAATGAACTTGGTAGCGGGAAGCTGGATGAAAAACACTTAACGCGCAACTAAGCGACAATTGTTGTTTTGTGTGGCATTTAAAAATAGAATCAAGGTGCGCTCTAGTTTCATTCACCCATACAAGCACACATCCCCTTGCAAACACATATATAGCTAGAGAGCCTACATAAAAGTGGCTGCTGTTGTTTTGCAAGTGGGCGAATGAGTGAGAACAGGGGCAGGGGCGCCGAGATGTATGCTATACTAAACTGCAAATAGAAAAGTTATAAATAAAATTCACACGAACCAGCATTGAAAAAATGAACTTGGGAACTATTATAGAAAAAAATACCAAAGGTGATGATGGATAAAATAAATCTTTATTGCTCTTTTATTATTGATCATTCATTTATAAAATAAATAGTTATGATAGCCAATGAAGTGTGACTTCAAAATATTGAAATGTTATTTATACCATGTTTTAAATTGTACAAAAAGTACTTAAAAACTATCCTTTTTTGTTTTTTCATTTACCACTATCATATCTGACCACTATTATTTACCAGTCAAAGGTCAGAACACCTTAACCTTGGTCAGAAGGAAAACCGCTAAGGCAAACCTAATGACACGCGAACTAATACAAAATGCGAACCGCAGCTGTGAGCTGCAAAATGATTCAACGGTTTTTCGGCTATAAACTGCCTAATCACTTTAGGTGTCAGGTGCGTGGGCCATTCAAGGATACTGGCAATTACCGGCCCAATCGAATGATATTGTCTTGGCCAAAGTGAGTAATGAGTAAAGGGCGTGACTATCGCCTAACACTCTGTCTTAGTTGAATAATTTAGGATGGTCAAACAAGCTGGTTGTAAGTTAAATAACTTGCAGGCTTACTTAATATAAATATAGATATCAATTTTCAACCATAAAATACTTCTAAAATAAGTTGTTTTTAACATTTTCTTTGAAACATAAAAAGATTCTTTATTTGAAATGTCATTCCTTTAATATCTTTAATATGTTTCAATACAGCAAGATCTAAGACCATTCAAATAGCTTTAAATATGTATCTGAAACCATTATGTCCCAGTAAAGGCAACCACAAGCCATTCCCAGCATGAACATCAATTTGCCAGCATTTGGCGACCATTAATGGTCAACTTATCGGGGAAAAAATACTGCTCCTTTTCCCATGGTTAAGCCCATAAAACATGTGTGCAGGCATCGTCTATGCCACACACACACATATATGCAACAGCTAGATGAAAAAAAAGATCGAAACGTTTAACTTTCGAACAGCAACAAACTTGAAATTTATATAGCCAACCGCCAGATGTGTCTATAAAACTTTCACATCCTCATCCATCCCATACGAACATACATTTTGCGGAGGTTTTTTCATTTTCATTTTTTTTCGGTGATTTTCCTTTTTTCTCTGTTATATTTTTATCGCCAGCTGATAAGAGCAAAGTTTGTCCGAAAGTTAGCGCCTGCAGCCGTAACACGCATACGCCATGTGTTACAAACATCCGAAGAAACAAAGAAAAGAAAGAAAGGAAGCGAAACGAAACGAAAGTACCCACAATTTCAGAAAAGTTAAATGTCTTTACTGCCGAGGTTTTTTGGTAACAATTTTTAATTGCCCCTCTGGGGTATGGGTGGAAATCCACATTTACAAGCGAACATATGTAGGCAACATGCAATTAACAAGCCAAGTCCAAGCGTTCTGATGAGCACAGAAAAAAAGTAAACAGCTCTAGAGCTGGTAAACTCGACTATGGAATACCTGGTAAATCAATTTTATAGGAAAAAATTGTATGACAAACTTTTTTTAATAAGGAGTATTAAAACATGTATGTACATCCTTTTTTTACATAGGCCATTAATAAAGGACAATGGAAACAATATTTTCTTGAACTCTTAACAATGATATTATACAATACCCCAGCTTTCTACGATAAAAACCTAGTTTAAAATTGTGGCAACATCTATGTGCAGCCACCCACGAGTAGCACTTACAAGCATTAATTACTATGTCGGGCCTGCCAAGTCAGCAACGAACCATCAAAAAGTTGAAGGACCAACAGCGAAAAATATATTGCATACTTTTTGGAATTTTTCTACCCAAATTGGGCATTTTCCCCACTTTTCCGCTTACTTTCTCCTTTGCTCTCTCTGTGTGCTTTCTGACAAGTTGTATGAGTTGCGAGAGTTGAATGTTTCTTTTTATTGCCATTGCCATCGCTTTGTTGTTATTGCGGCCCTTTGTTTTTGTTTTTGGCTAAATTTTTTATTATTTGGTCTGTTTATTGTTCTTGTAGATTTTCATGTTCATTGTGAACATAAAAGTAAGCCAAGCCAGAAACAAATGTTAACCAAAGTTAGTTTTGTAGTTGATTTTTCGCAGAACAGCATTAAGTTGGGAAAAATAAATTCCGAAATATGTAATTGCTTTTTGAGTGGGGAGAGAAAGTTATTGCTGATGAAGAAGATGTAAAATTAGCATATTTATAAGGGCTTAAAATATTGCCTCCATTTAAAATAAAGCTAACTAAAAGTCCCAAGATTCGGCCATAAATTGATTTCCTACAACTTAAAAAATATCTATAAGAAGTTTGACAGAAATCACATAAGCAGACAAATAATATGATTGCCAAGCAATTATATACTGTAAGCCAATTTAATTTGTTTCGACTTAGTTTGGTTGTTTTTCCTTTTCCTTGGCGGAAATAAATTAAGTCAGCTCATAAATTAAATCAATTCAAGCAAAGAAATTGTTGTCCAGTCAAGTTCTGTGGCTCATACACCCACGCAGAAATAAGTTCATGAACATATCTCGGCATATTTATAGCTTTGGCCAAAAACTGGCTAAGCTTTTGCCTTTTGCCCAAGAAAAGGGCACAGCCCGAATGATTGTCTAAAAGTTGGCGCATATCGCCGAACCGGAAGTTCCATTGGGCCAACAAGACTAGCGGGTGGGTGGGTATATATCCTCGAATATCCATGGGTCTCTATATAGATTTGTGTGAGTTCGAGGTCTTGGAAGTCGCCATTGTAACGACTTATTGTTCCGAATTTCGCACAAATACGAATACGAAATGGTGAACTACACCCCCGACGAAGTGAATATTTTCGTACCCCAAAAAAAACTCCAGCCATTTGAAGTCGTTGCAACTATTTTGGCAGT